TAAAGCCGTGTCTATGTCCGAATCACTGATTCTCCCAATAGGAGATTCAGATTCAGCTGGATCGAACTGGGGACAGTGATCTGAATCAACGAATCGAATCACTGTCCCTGATTCAGGTCAAATCCAAATCAAATAGGGCCTGCTTCTCACACCCCTACTAATCATGTGTAGTGGCTTGGCTTTCCTCCTTTCTGGAGCCTGTTGGTGTGGGTGTATGTGCATTCAGTTTTTGGTTTTGTTTATAGGGGGAAGCCATACAACATAAGAGTTTAAGTGTTATTGATGTTGACAAAACATTTCCAGGTGCTTTTCTGCTTGTGTGTGTTTGTTTGTTTGTGTTTAAACTATGCGGACCAGCAATATTTATAAGGAATGTTCAAAGCTTTAATGATGCAATTAAAGTCTCTACATTCATATTTAAAGACTTTTACTTTCCTTAACTGACTTCATAGAAGTGTTTATGTTTTGGTTTCCCCTTAGACAGTGCATCCAGACAAAACAGTACAGGACCGGGGTCTGGTAACAACTGATCCGAAGGCGAAAGATATTGTATTGGAACACAAAAGTTACTGTGCCAAGAAAGTGAAGGAGAGACACTTCTCAGGAGATGTTCTGGGATATATCACCCCTGTAAGTAGTTTAAAAACCAAAAACCCAGAACATGCCAGACACTTGGCTTTGGACTTGGCCACACTTTGAGTGGAAACCCAGTAGGCTAATAAGTTGCTAACCATTTTTTTTTTTTTTCGCTTCAGTCTTGATGCATAGATTTAGCCCAACCTCATTGGGTGCAAAATTGCATCTATCACTTGAATTTGCTTATAGTGCTGTTGCTATTTCTAATAGTTGGCCAGATTGCAGCTATGGAAAGGGGGAGGGAGGGAAACATTCTGGGATTTGGACTTGGCTTCAAGTCTCTTTTCTACTACAAGACTTTTCATGACCTTTTTTCTGTCTTAAGCTTGTTTCTTCAGTTTGCCAGTGGAGAGAGACAAACAGTTGTCCTATGGTAGTAATATGAGATTACAGAATGCAAGCATATTGCAATAATGTGTAGCTGTAGAATGCAACTAATATTTTTACACAATTTGTTCTGCTACTATTAGCTAGCCCCCTACTTCTGTTGTGCTAGTTCATTAGTATTCTAGGCAGCTTATATAAATCCTTCTAGAATAATTTCTGACACTTCATACAGAGGTTAACTTGTCTGTCTGACTTTGTCATTTACAGGAGAAGTAGATGTCTCTTTGAATTCCACTTGACTTCCCTTGGACATTGGAAATGTATAACCTATTAATATGATGCTCCCCATGTGTCTTAATTTAAGTAAAAGTTGTAGTTATGATAGGTGAATGTTCAAGCCCCTGCTGAAATGATCCCACTCATACAAATTGCAGGCAATTTCTAATGCACATTCCTTAACTGATATAGAGTAATTGAAACTCTTCAAACATCCCAGAGGGCTTACTGAAAATCCCACAAACTGTCCTGTAGGAATCCTTCAGATGCTTTTATTTGCATTATGTGGAAGAACTTAAATCTGGCGAGTAGTAAAGTCTGCCGTAGATCGTATTCTAATGTCCCTTTTCCCCTTTTTTTGCAAGTGGAACAGCCATGGATATGATATTGCTAAAATGTTTGGAAACAAGTTTACATCCATCTCGCCTGTCTGGCTCCAAGTGAAAAGAAAGGGCAAGGAACGGTTCCAGTTCAG